AATTCCACAAACCACCACACAACAAGATTATAGCCTAATTAAACTGGTGAAAACTAGTACGATGAATCAAGATTGAATAACTATGGCGAAACGAAACATTTCACCAGAAACATTCCTATTTTAAAAAGAATCAACGTTCTAAGTTCTCAGTCCCTTATACAGTATGTCAGCCTAATTTTGTTCAAATTGAAATCGTAACAAGGAAGGGTGTAAAAGTTCTCGGTAAGAAGAGGCGTTAATTAGACCATAGGTGCAGATGAGCAATCTAGCGTTTTAGTCACAGGAAAGCGAGCGCCGTTGGATATGAACAGACAAAAAAAGTTGGCGGATGGTTCTAACTGTGATGCATATTTTTCACACCTCCTGTAAAAAGGAAAAATCAAACTAGTGTAAAACAGAAGCCCAGATGGGAAATCACCAACTTCATATGCTATTAGTTTAATAAATTGTGTGTTGCATGATGTTTCTGTTACTTTTGGATGGATTTGAATAACGGTCATGTTAATTGCAATTAATGTAATTACAACCTATACCAGGGGTGTCAAACTCAGTTCCTGGAGGGCCGCTGTCCTGCATGTTTTCCAAGTCTCCCTGTTGCAACACACCTGATTCAAATGAACAGGTTCAATGTCAGGCTTGCGCAGAGCTTGCTGATGATCTGATCATTTGAATCAGGTGTGTTGCAACAGGGAGACTTGGAAAACATGCAGGACAGCGGCCCTCCAGGAACTGAGTTTGACATCCCTGACCTATACATTACTTGGTGGAACAATAAGTAAGCTAGCCTGTGTCAGAGTAGATGTTCTCATTGATCACGAATAACCTGCTTTATCCGAAATAAGTTATGTTGGCTTTGTTTTGTTTTGTGGTTTTTTTAAACACATGTGCTCATATGTTTCAGATCACTCTTGGATCATGACTAATTTGTTTTGTTTTTTTTTGACAATCTGTCAAAAGTAACCATTAAAATATAGTTATTTTTTTTTCAACCCTTTGATTATCTATGTTTTAAAGATGTTCCTTTGGTTTATTTTCAAATCCATTGTGGGCGTGCAAAAATCCAAAATCCAAAATTGTTTAACTGTCCAATTGAATATCGACCAGATTGTGCGTTCAGCTTCTGGCTGCTGTTTGTGTCCTTTACCTGTCCTCATCTATCCCAACAACCAAGACAGTGGTTCAATACTCATTTACTTGCCCTGTGATCACCAGGCACTTTGCAGAGTAACTCATGATAGACACTTGAATGAGGGAGCCAGTGAAAACCGTCATGTGTATGCAAGGTGTAACCAAATACAAACCCATCGTACGCCAATATTGAAAGTGTTGCACAAATAGCAAAAAAAAAGAGGGTGTCGACCACGTTCCTATTCATATGTTACTTGGGAGGAAAAGACAGCGTTTGTTGTAAGTTTTTAAGCACCATGAAAACAGCTAACAATTTTTCACAAACTAACACCCAGTCCAACACCTCAGCAGAGATGTTGTGTGAGGCAAACTAATCCTCAAGTGTGAATCAGAGTTTGCACTCGCATCAGTTAGTGAAGATGGGGAGGGGCGGGTGGGTGACATGAAGCAGAGAGGCCCAGTCATTGGAATTTTGAGGGCATCAATCTTGATTGCATATTAAAAAAAAAAAAAAAAAAAACTATGAAAGTGTTGTTTCAATAGTGCCACTTCTCAAGGGATTCCATAGATGAAATATATTTCCTCAACGTTTGGGTTTGTTGGCTTTATGCCGCAAAGCTGCTGGAACCATACGAAAACAGATTAATTGGGTTGATTCAACCACAAACAGTCATTTTGCTGCAGCTCAGAGATAATTATAGGGGATTTGATATTGTTTAAGTCAAAGCCTGATTTGCATAATCACACGAGCCTAACTGCAAGTAACGAGTTGCCGTATGTGGTACGATATACTTTCTGTACACAACCCGTACATTAATTGCCTTCGGTAAAAACGGACAAATGAAGGTTAACATTTCATGTTGGTTTTCTATGGTTTAAAGATTTTTATCAGCAACTGGTGCTATCATCTCTGTAGCAATCAATCTATTCTCATTTGCATCGCCTCCTCACCACACTGCTTTTGATTTCAAGAGCTGAACTATTCTGCAACATTTGTTGATGTGGTTCTGCAAGTAAATGCTGCAGAATTGTGCTCCTCTTGGAATTGTTCTCCTTCGCTGACCACCGGGAGAAGAATTCACCACCCATCGGCTGTAAAGACTCCTCATGCTAACAACAAACCTGCATTAGTATACATGCATTTTACCCGTTATGACACAGGTTGCCATGATGGCCAGAGGTAAATGGAAACGACTATTGTTAAAATGTATGAAAATGCTCCGTGATTTTTTTATAGAAACAATAAAATCATCAGTTTAACAACGTGGGAGGAATGCTTGTTTTTGTTCCTACCAAGACTTAGAAAATCCATACCAGATACCACCTACATGCATGTCCAAAACAAAAAAAAAAAAAAAGGAAATGTTTGCTTGGTTCCCTCCCCAACAGAATTGTGCAGGAAATAGATCAACCGTCCTAAATTTTAAATGTAGAAATCTTTGCACTTTGAGTAATCATAATGATTACTATCGAGAATGTTATTGTATACAGCAAATGTTACAAATGTGAATGTATTTATTTTTCCTACTTATACCCATTCCATTGGGTGAATCGTTTCATTTGAATATGATTCAAAGTGATGTATTTGAGTTGCATGGCACCCCGTACGTTTGATGGTCTTACACTCCTTTTTTCCTGTCAAAAAAATATTTAAGGGTGGCCAATCTAACAATTTGGGTTAAATTTTTGTAAGTATAAGTGAGGACATCATGCTACTGGAATGCCTCCCCAAGATGTTACATGGTCCACGACTTTGGGCTGGGAGGATGTTCTGGATGACTTCCAGATCCCATTAACCTTGGGCAGAGGGCCAACGGTTGACCGGGGCCCCAAAGGCCAGTGAGTCAGAAAACTATTTTCTTGTAGCCAGCTCAAATGTGCTCACCTTCGAGATGTGCAGAAGACCGTCTGCCCTCTAAAAGTCACTTATTCCATTCATCAGTCAAGAAGCCACATCCAGTTGGATCTCTTTTTGTCAGTTGCAGACTTCACAGCTAGATGTGTACCCACACTGACACATAAGATGCACTGTATGGACTTAATGTAAATGGTCATGGGGATGGCTTTAACAATCAGTTCTAAAGCACAAATAAGACACGTGAATGCTGCGCTTAAATCAGTGTGATGCGGTATTGCTCAACCCATTGTGCTAATGACAGTTGGTGGCGAAAATTTATTTCTGACAGCAAGCAGCACATTCAGACGATCTTGCCACCTGCAATCGGACTGAGAGAGAGAGAGTGATTTCTGAGTGACAACAGCGATGGTAAAGTTGTACATTGAAAATTAAGAAAAAAAAAATTTATTGTGACATGCTGCGTCCTATTCCGCTGCAAAAATAGTGCGGTTTGCAAGTGCCATTATTCTGGATTTTTAAATTTTTTTTTTTAGGTCAATAAGACAAAAGTCTAAAGTGAATTAGACTAGTTCTATTTGTGATTAGTTCAAAATTTTCCATTTTATGACAATACGCAAGTGATAAATGCAAAACAAGACATTGTTCATATAGCATGATGGTCTCGAGAGGGATAAAAAATATTTTATTAAAAAAAGTATTGTTTCATAAGACATCTGTGGCACAGTTTCTCTATATTGATGGTCTTCACTAAGGTTTTGTGTGGGATCAGTCAGCCTCCTTTTACAAAATTAAACACATTGGGACCTGACTGTGTGTCCTGATTGTGTTTATTTATTAATTCTTTTTTTTCAACCAGGTAAAGCAATTGAGAACGGTTTGTCATTTACAAGGCCAATCTGGGAGCAATTTAGGACTCAGTGTTTTCCTCAAGGACACGCCTTATAATGCCGAAAATACGGTATATAATATGACCACTTTTTTTGCATTTTCCGTTTACAAAGGATGCCCTACTCATTTCGCCATCTGTCTGAGTTTAGAGTGCAATTACACTACGGCAGGCATGTCCTAGCTCGATCTTCGAAGCCCGCTATCCTGCCTGTTTTAAATGTGTCCTTCCTGCAACAAGCCTGGACTAAATGATCAGCTCATCAGCAAGCTGTGAAGTAGAATGAAAATTACCTGATCATTTGAATCAGGTATGTTGCAGGAGCGCCGCATCTAAAACAGGTAGGGCAGCGGCTCTTCAGGACCGAGTTTGGAAAACCCTGCAGTAAAGTCTTTTCTGGTGTGCATTGAAACCATGTATTCGTATGATTGCATGCGTGCGTGTGTTTGTGTGTGTGTGAGAGTTCTCAGTTGATGCATTTTCAGCAACAGTGTAGCACCACTGTGGCCCTGGAGTAAAGTCCAACCAGACAAATTGAGGCAGATTGTTGTTACAAGGGTTTAAAAGAAACATCGCCTCAGTTCATGAAAGGTCGACCGGAGGCCCCATTCGGCTGACAGCGTCAAAAGGAACTCATATAGTGGGGGGGTCAGGGTTGACAGACAGACTGTGACTCAAGGACACTGTGGTATACAAGGTTAATGATGTCAGTAGCCTTGACATGCCGTAAGCAATGACACTATTCGTTGTGATACAGTCTTATTTGTGTGTGTTTTTTTTGTCACAGTAATTAACTGCATAATGAAAGTCAAGCGAAGATACACCATTCACTGAGGACATATGTGAAAACTAACTACAGTATATATACTGCAGATGAATTGTCTTACGTGTATAATGTACTGTACGTTCAAGCACGAAACACTTTGGAAGCCTTGCTGCTTTGATCATATAACTTCTTTAATGAATCTACAATGACGGATCACAGAAATAGTTTGCATCAACCAAATGGATTTTTAAATTTCAATTCATGTTATTAAAGCCTATAAGTTGGTTTGCCAGCTCGTCGCATTGAGACTGTTTTTGTTCACTCACCATCTTGCTTTCATTTATTTTCTTTGTCCCACCCAGCATGCCAGCCAGGCTTCTACAAGGCTTTTGCCGGAAACATCAAGTGTTCAAAGTGCCCGATAAATAGTTTCAGCTACGGAGAAGGTGCTGCAGTCTGCCGATGTGAAGTTGGGTATTTCAGGGCTGGAAAAGATCCTCCAACTATGGCTTGCACGCGTGAGTATGCCCTATCTTAATACTTAGTCATTGACAAAGTTGCGTAGTAGCGCCGTTAGAAGTTGTGACGTTACTAGTTTCACTACATTTTTCAGTAATTGTGGTCACAACGGTTATTTTCAACACCAAATAGGTTTTGAATAGTGAAATTACATTTGTGAATCACCAACACAAGCTGCTTTTTCCCAAGGCACTACTAAACCTTAATTCATCTCTTCTGTTTTATATCACGGACCTATCCTGCTCATGCCTGCTCAAACAGTGTAAAAAATAAATAAAAAATAAAAACTGCACAGTTGGAGGCAGTGTTACCACTTAATATGATTTCTCACTGAAGATTTATATGTTTCAGTGTTTACCCAAGAACAAGCTTATGTGAAAATCCAGAACATCCTACACAAATTTAAGGACATACATTTCAGTATGACGTAGCTTTGATGGCATTGCTTAGCTTGCTCATTTCTTTGATGGTAGTGTCAGTGCAGTGAAGCTACCGGTACATTTAATGTAGAAAGCTTGGCGCACTCCGTTTCCCAAGTCGCTTGCCCTTCACCTCTATTCATCTTTAAGTGGCTCATGCCTAATACTGAGGAAAATTATTAGCCTACCGCTTCAAAGTGGCTAATTGTGATTGACGTGAAACCCCACAACTTGTTAATACCTGTGACTCTGGATGATCCTTGTGATATTTAATACGTATCTGTTCAGAGTCAAAGTGTACAAAAGATAATCAAATTAATTGCATGTGGATCGGCTGCCTCATCTTCGTCGTGGATTCACGGACAGTAATTACAAAGTAATGTTTGCATTAAATAAAAGTTTAATTAGATTGATTCCCTTTTAATTAAAATGCAATTTAGCTGTCATTTAGATAGACTAGGGTACCATCACTGAAATCTTTCTCTGGAGGGGGAGTGTACTATTTGTACTAGGCATTGTGGAATACGGAGTCTCGGGGTTTAGTCTGCAAAGACAGATGTTTGGAGAGGAAATGTGCAGAAATTCTTGTCTTGTATTGCACCTCTAAAACTGCAGATTTTTGATGGAGCTCCACAAAATCAAGTTGCTGCTACAGGATATGACAAGGTCTGACCACGAACCAGGTGGAGTGTGGATCCCTAAAATGCAGACTCGGATAAACTGCCTTACAATAAATATTTATTTATTGAGAGCGTACCGACAAAGTATAAACAGAAATCGCTGGTCACAAGGAGCCAGAAAAATCAAAGCATAAACAAAAAGCGCTTGCAAAAGGCAAGGTAATAATAAAGCCGAAATGACAAGAGTCCAATACCACGAAGAGTCCAATTACACAAAACAAAGAGAGCAAGATCAAGGACAAGGTCTAGAAAACACCACTTGAGCGAGAGCAGCAAACAAGGTCAATAATCCAACAAAGACTAGGCAGCTTGGCAGTCTTTTAACACTGTACATGGCAAGGCTTGATTGGAAAGGAACAGGTGCGCCTCCTGGAGGGAAACGCCCTTCGCTCCCGCTGGGGCTAAAAACAAAATCAAAACAGACAGAACATGACAGTACATTACACATGCTGGATAAAGAAGGAATGACGTGGATGCCCACAGCTGGTGGACCGGACAGCAGACCTCTCATGTCACTGGAATGACAGTTTACAGTACTTTGTGGTCATTATTCTTACAAATTGGGACAAGAAATAAATTATTGGAGTAAAATTAAGGAGGAATGCTGTTTAAAAAGTGAATACAGGAACGAAGAAAGCAAGGGTATCACAAAAGGAGAGATAAAGGTGGAGGATACATGGGTGGAGTAGACATTGAAGAAAGAAAGGAAGGAGGATACTGATCCCAATCTTGCTCTGGAGGAGAATGGAGGCTGATTGATGGCAGTGGGGTTGATCCACAGGAGGGCAAGGTGGGTGGATTCTGATCGGCGGAGAGAATAGAGGAGGTGCGATGATGGCCGATAAAGGCAGGGGCAGATAAAGCGAGCGAAAGAATGGACGTACGCTGACAGAAGTGGAGGAGGAGCATTGCTGTCTGCTGAGATTTCAAGCAAAGGTAGAGTGGGATGGAGGGTTGCTGAGGGACAGGGAAACATCGCATTGTCTTGGCAGACAGCGAGCTTGGCAGAAAGGGAATTTTCAAATCTCGCAGGCCTTTTAACTTCACCCTGTTGACGGCTGACTGCCTGCTACAGCACAATGCTTACTCTGGCGCACAAAGACACGCATCTAGGGAGCACAAAAATACCTTCAACACTCAAATCAGAGGGAGGCAAAATAATGTAATGGATGGGGTCGAGAAGTACAGCAGTAACATCTTGTTAACCTTTTAACATTGCATTTTGGGGGAAAACGTGTTAATCATTGGGTAGAGCTTTTAGAATTGAGTTGCACGGTGCCCCAAGGGTCAATTCTAGAGCCTGTTCTTTTCTCACTACGTGTATTTCACTGACAGCAAAACATTCAAGGTTCTTTCTCCCCAAAATAGCCAAGTAGCTTGGTTACGCTCAAAGAATACCTTAGTTAGATGTCTGCAATTATAGAATGGAGCAACATGAAATCTGTGACATTAATGGGAACAAATATTCTGGAGGAATATATTAGCTTGTATTATTTTGCTTCTATGGTCATCATTTTCATTTTTATACCCACCAAGTCGCATATGTATTGTGTATGCTGGTTTTGGTTGTCTGTTCATTTGCATGTGTGAAACAACTACAGTATTTACGTTTTTAGTTGTTGGGACAGTTTGTTTCGAAGGTTTGCCCATGAAATTCTGGCTCCGAAGGTCTGCGGCGATGCACTCTGCAGTACATTTTAATCGTATTACCTAAGGTAGAAGCAGTTGAATCTGTGTTGTGTTTCAGGAATATAATATAATAATCGTTGTAATTTGACGGAAGAAATGCTCATCATTAGTAGTTCTGGCACCAAAACCACGAATTAAATGTGAGATTAAGACACTGAAGGCAAAATCAAGCTTTAAATTAAACAATGTGACCCTGGTGAAGGCTTCCAAGGGGTATACGATTTGTACTTATTCAACTTGATAAAAAACTCATAACATAACTCAAAACAATGATTTGTATTCATTGCGTTATCGCTTCTCTTTCCTTCTTTTAACAGGTCCTCCATCCCCTCCACGTAACTTACTTTTCAACCTCAATGACACATGTCTGATGCTGGAATGGTCACCCCCCAGTGACACCGGGGGACGCCGAGACCTAACTTACAATGTCCAATGTAAACGCTGTGGTCCAGAGCCTGGCAAATGCCAACTTTGTGAGGAGGAGCTGCGTTTCCTGCCCCAACCGTTAGGCCTGACTACCGCCTCTGTCACCGTCATGGACTTCTCAGCGCACGCTAATTATACCTTTGAGATCGAATCACTCAACGGCGTTTCAGACATGAGCTCATTTCCTCGACAGGTCGCCATCATTACCGTCAGGACCAATCAGGGCGGTGAGTGTGAATTATTCAAAAACTTGTTTCCAATATTGTGACCTATAACTTTTGCAACTTCAAAGACATAATTGCATCCATTGTGTGGAAGATATTTTGTTCCGCATTTATTTGGGTGTTCTCTTCAGTAAATGCCATTTTTCAACCTTTATTTTCTTTTGAACTGCACCAATCACACCTTTTGCGGGTATCTCTAAAGTTTTTTTGCTCTCTGAAAAACATACATCAGCAGATGTTCAATTACAATGCTTAAATAAGTGATTCCCAACCAGTGTGGCACAATAGGGTGCCGTGAGAGCTCAAACTGTGGATCAAATTTCACTTAATTGGTCTGAAAATTATTTATTAAGAACAAATAATGTATCTTTGTCCCTTCATCTATGCCAGCCACTTATAGTGACAGACAGAACAAATAAATGATCTTCAATTAGATGGCAAAAAGTATGAAATTGACATATGTCTCCTCTCTTTGTGACGATTTTGTTTAGTGGGGTGCCGTGCGATTTTCCGAACTTAAAAAAAAATTGCCTTGGCTCAATAAAGGTTGGGAATTACTGGCTTAAAGTATGAGAGCACAGTCTAACAAGCGCTGAGCAACAGTGTGATTTCATAAATTTTGACTAAGTACGATTGAGAACCTGTCGTACTTTTTTTCCTTCTCAAATCGCAAGCAGATGTCATGTCTGTGCAAATAGAAGAAGATAAGTTCCTTTTTTTGTTGTTTCAGTTATAACTTAATGGAAATAGGAGCAGTCCAGGTTTGGGTTGATTTGTGGCTTTGTAGACAGATAAGTTTTCGTCTCAACCCAGGGGGGCCTGTTTTAGTCCAGTCTATTTGTTAGTTTTCAGGAAATCTCCAACATAAATCTTGCTTTGGGGTTTGATGGATTGCCCAGACCCTGATCCAGGGAAACACCTCATTAGCTTTTAATGGGGATATTGCTTCTGCAAGGCCGTTTGATTGGTTGCCTCGCTTCTCTGCGGGTGAATGTCCAACTTTATTTTCTGTCCCATTCACCTGTTGTGGTTTGCTGGGTAGATCAATCTACCCTGTGAATTTGTTGCTACTCTTGTAAGATTTGATCCAACCGTTATTTTATATGACCAAGAAGGACATTTAGTGTTTGTCTTGATCTGCTCAAGGTTTTGTCCTTAAAGGAGCCATTTTTCTCTGCTGCTGTTGACAAAATGCTCATATGGGGATCTGTTGGGTAATTTCAAATGTTGGCAACTTGTTGGCAGAATTATGTATTATTCCTTTATCACTTCTTATAATTTTAAAAAGCATAATTATGACTGGTGTTGCTTATAGCGTCGCGCTAACAAAAGTTTTATTTTGTTGATTGAAAATGGAAATGCATTTGTTGAGGGGGACATTTTTTTTTTCTAAGCCACTTTCTGTAAATAATGGCAGAGAATTAATGAGTGTTTTCCTGTTACCTGCATTCTTTTAATAAGAGTCTTTATGTTGAAAGGACCATGTTTCCCGTGGGATATGGTATGGCGTGTTAGAATGTAAAGGCTTTTAGTTTGTAATTTGCAAACACATTTTTTTTGTGTGTTCTCCCGCCCCGTGTTCTTCTCTAGTGTACAGTTTTCTGTCATCTTTGTTCTCTGGCTCCATCCCACCCTCTGCTCCTCTGTTGTTAAGGGAGTTTGGGGAAAAACACATTTTCTCATACAGCCACAACACATTAAATGCATTATTCAGTGTGTGTCCAGGGACGGCTCGGCACTCTTTGCAGGTAAACACAATGTCACACCTCGACTTTTTATTTCATTAAGATTCCCTAAGTTCAATGCATAGAGACACAGCAAGTCCCTTGGCTACGAGACAAGGCTAATATACACTAGGTTAATATACTCAGCTACAGCTTTTTAAAGTGCTTTAGGGAGCTAGAGTCAGGTCGCTATTTTTTGGGGGGGATGGGGGGTAGTTTTTTCTGGACATGTTTGTTTTGATTTTGGCTTGATTGAATAGCTGTTTAAAAAAAAGTATCTGATCCCAATGGAGTCAGGAACCTGAGGCTCCTTCCCTGCTCTTAAGTGGCTAGGGACTGTTCTACCTCGGTTATTTATTTTTATAGTTTTTTTATTGCAATATGCTTTTGTAGGATGCGTATGGAATACGTATGTGATTTTGAAAATATCTAGTAGCCATAGAAGTTGAAACACCTTTTTCCTTATCATAGTTTCATTATCAGATTATCATATAATCAGGAGATATAGTAAACTGTACTGATGTCCCTGGAGCTCCAGTTTGTTTGGACTTTTTCCCTTGAGAAAAAATTTGAACAGATTTAATCAACCCTTTATTCGTGATTCATTTCAGCATTCACTGCAATGGCACAAAAAAAAAATTGTAAAAGTGGCTTAACGATTCATCTTCACGAAGGTTACGGGTTTGCTGGCTTCGGGTGAGAGGTGTTATAGACCCAGCTCTGATCACCAGCTAATCAAAGGGTACAATAAAAAAAAGTTAATAATAATTAAAAATAGTTAAGCCCTCTGATAATGATTCCAACTTCAAACATTTATAGGACTCAAGAGGCAAATTTTGGTTGAATCGAAAATTGTCTGACGTTTCGGGTCAAATTTTACATCTAACTGTAGTTTTGTCAAAGTAATATTGATTATAAAATTACCCTCAATTAATATTTGATATCTGAAACCGTATAATGTGTTGCACTTGATAGATCGCTGTGTTTTTGAAAAACCTCCTGTTAGTACACATGCTCAAGAAGAGGGCTCATCTCACAAATTAAACTAATCCATCCGTTCATACACATGCTTCCCAAGACATGGCCACCTGAAATTCTATGATGGGTGATTTGGAAAGGTGAAGAGAAAACACCATTAGCATAAAAGTGCCATCAGCAGAAAAGAGGCAAGCATGTGAATTCCCGTGTGTTGGAAGTGTTAGCAAGAATCTTGTAATAATGGACCGCAAGCCAAAGATGAATTCGTTTTTGATATTAAAATGCAGATGGCGCTTTTGGTAAATACTTTATGCCACTGCTGTTACCATATCTAATTTATTATGGCTGTGATGGGTTTCTTTGCAAAAACACACACATACATAAGCCATCCTTTAGTACTCTCCACATGCCTCAGAAACTATATGGCCTGTGATAATTTCCTGTCAAGCATAACCTTTTCTGTATTCTGTGATTTATATTTCTCCATATGCACAAACATCAATCTCCATGACATGCATACTTTTTACACACCGAAACTGGCAGAGAAAGGTAAAAATAGATCATCCATCCATATCATCCAAGTACTGAGAGACAATATATTTCAATGTAAGATAAACTACTCCTCCTGATGACCACAATTAGTTGGTTGGTCATACATAGCTCTTCTGACCTATAGAAGATTCTCCAAATATGAGAGGACTTGAGAAAAAAAAACAGCAATTGATGTGAATGTAAGAAGAGAGGAGCCGGACAGAGACAAATGAAAAGGCAGAAAGAAAAAAGGTGAAAGGGGAATATAAAATGAGAAGTGGGAGAATGGGAAGATGATTGCATGGGGAGGAGAACAGAGGACAAAAAAAAGGAGGATGGCAGGATGAAAAGGGACTAAATTACCTGACAAAAGAGTGAGTCATTGAAGTGCAGCAGATGGTTCGCATATAATGTCAGTCAATTACTGTAGATCAAGGCTGCAAATTGTACAGTCTGTCTCTACCTATACATTTCCAAACTTTGGGATTCAAAATAAAACATATTGAGATCTGTACCATTAAAAAAAAAAAAAAAAATAGGAACCATCAAAGTGTTTCAGCCAATCTGAACCTCAAAGGAAGTTATGTCAAGAAAGGCCACCATGACGCCTAATAACATGTAGAAAAAAAAAAGGAAAAGGAAACATTTGCAAGCACAACAATTATGAAAAGGTCACAAAGAACACAATAACAGCAATTTTATATATATACTATGAAATAATATTTCCAGGTTTTGGGATTAAATTTTACTAGAAGTCAGTGGGACTATTGAAATAGGAAACAGGCGGAAGAATAAAAGACTGAATAAACAACTGATAATTGTGTCAGCCTTATGTTGGAGACATTTACAACACTCAGTTTAACAATGGTCGTTGAAACTTACACAGAGGGCAAAGGCGAAACAGTAGTTTGCATTTTGCAGGGACTGCATGACCTGAGAACAGGTGATGCTGTTGCGAATTGCATAGCTGGCTTTTATAATACTAAGTAGTGAAAGGAAGGTGGCCAAGCGTGTGACTGTTGAAAGGAGGCAGCGGGAGCAGAAACGAAGATGTCCTGGAAACACGGGGGTCTTTAATCACACGAAACAGCTTGGTAATTGTCTATGTCACGGAAAGCAATCAGAGACAGGTCAGGCTCTCAGTTGTTGTGTCACATCAGAACAGCAACTTGATACTCCAATCAGACAGTCTTTTGTAGATGCAAGGAAAGAACAAGGTTGGTGGAGAAGATGTATGTAACATGATGTGGGAGAAGGTGTTTTTTGGAAGTGGTTCAAAAGACAATTTAATAAGACTCCGCAAGATTGAACTTCATTAGCTTTTTTTTTTTTTTTAACTGTTAGAACACCTATATATAGTACACTTCCTTTAACATTTTTCATTAGCTAACACATCTGTAAACTTTAACAGTTGAGCGTTTCAGCAGTCAAAGGCTAAGTTGGAGCACTTTCTCTGTCCTGTTCAAAAAGCAAACTGGCCAACACAACAAATGAGTCTAACCTCGTCCCATCTTTTCAAAATGTTTGCTAAACTAATAAAGACTACACCACAAGGTGGCGCTTCGAGGACAGATTTTGAAAAACAATGTGATTTTGGAGAAACCCGTCGGTCTGGCTACATCTTCAGAGATGTGCCTGGATCAGAAATAATATAAAACTAAACCTGTCTTTGTCGTCATCATTTGACTTGCTAGGCATGAAAAGACAAACAGCAAATACACTTCTCCCCGATTTTATTGTATGGGAGTACCATATTTTCCGAACTATAAG